CCACAAGTCTTAAACTTGCCAAGTTGGAAGACCCTTGGACTAGGGGATGGAGCGATAGCAGTGTTCCAATATCTCAGGGGCTTCCACAAAGAAGAGGGAGTCAAGCTATTCTCCAAAGCGCCTGGAGGCAGGACAAGAAGCCATGAATGGAAGGTGCCTATGGAGATTCTCAGCCATCCAGATCATGGTTGTCCCAAAGGTGGTTTTTTTTTTGAAGAGGCAACTGGACTTCCCGTTTTTTTCTTTGAAGCCGTTTTGCTTCTCACCCAAGAAGCTTCTTCAGCTCTGACTGGAGGTTGGGGAATGATTTATACTCCTTGCAGACAGCTGGTCATTTGCATCCTTTTAGAAAGTCGTTGAGGCCGCTTGGAGGTTGGAGGACACAGATGAATCTCCAAGTGTCCTCAATGACTCCTTTTAGAGAATGACCAGCTGTCTCCAAGGAGTATAAACCCTTCCATTCTCCACCATCCAGTCAGAGCTGAAGAAGCTTCGAAACGTCTTCCAAGAAAAACCAGAAAGCTCAGTTGAAAAAGCACCTTTGGGACAGTGGATGGAAACTAACCAAGGTGAGAAGCAACCTAGAACGAAGAAGAAACTTCCTAACAGTGAGCACAATCAACCAGTAGAAGGACTTTCCTTAAGAAGTTGTTGTAAGAAGAGACTGGACAACTATTTAAAATGCTCCTGCTGGAGCAGGGCTAACTTCCAAGGTTCCTTCCCAACTCATTCTGTTCTGTTCTGGACGTTTGATCATCTCCATTGGGTATGATGAACTTTCTTGAATGACCTCTTGGTTTTTAACGGTCTTCCTTTTTTCCCTTTTTATTAGATGTCCTGTATCATGGAAGCTTCACCCATAAGCTGACACTGCTTTTCAAACTGCACATTCCTCCAGGTGGGTGATGTGGAGATGCCATGTTTAGGCCTTGCTTCCCTGTCTGTGGAGATCCTCAGTCCTCCAGGTCATGGTTGTCCCCAAAGTGCTTGTTCAAGAGGCAACTAGACTTTCTGGTTTTTCTTTGAAGACGTTTCGCTTCTCATCCGAGAAGCTTCTTCATCTCTGACTGGATGGTGGAGAATGTAAGGATTGATACTCCGTGCAGACAGCTGGTCATTTGCATCCTTTTAGAGGGTCATTGAGGCCACTTGGAGGTTTGTCTGTGTCCTCAGGGTCACCTGAGTGGTACAAATAGCTGTGGAACCTTCTTGGAACTGTTGGCCTCAACAGCTTTCCAAAATTATGCAAATGACCAGCTGTCTGCAAGGAGTATAAATCCTCCCATTCCCCACTATCCAATCAGAGCTTCCAGTCTTCTTGGGTGAGAAGTGAAATGTCTTCAAAGAAAAACAAGAAAGTCCAGTTGTCTCCTGAAAAAAAAAAAAACATCCTTGGGAACCCTTTAGATTTTGGAATGTGAAGAAATGGACAAATCCACCTCAGAGTTAAAAGATAAAGAAGACTCAGAGTATTATGCAGTATGGGAGAATTGGTATAAATGGATAGACGATAGGAATAGGAATTGTAGAGATAAGAAGAAGGTTTAGAAATGTATATAAATAATGACAACTGTATGGAAATGTGTATTTGTAATAGAGATGCCTCAGTACTTTTAAAGATGATTGAGATGTGTAACGAGAAAGAAGTACAATTATATATTTGTTTTCATAGATTTTCACGGGTACAGGTATGTGGGTCTAGGTGTGTTTGGGTCTTTTCCCATGTAAGATTAAGAGTATCTGTTGACGTTTTGCCGAGATGTCACCAAGATACTCTTAATCTTACACGGGAAAAGACCCAAACACACCTAGACCTATATATATATATATATATAGAGAGAGAGAGAGAGAGAGAGAGAGAAAAGGAAGGAAGGAAGGA